TATATATATATAATATTGTGGATGACAGATGGCTCAATCTAACACACAAAAAATTAATTGAAGATCTTTTTTTTTTATGATAAGCCTTGAACACAAGATATTTCTCTTATTTCCTCTTAAATTTGTATTATTTTATCAATGTCAAACATAATCTTAATCTGGTCTCAACATGAAGTATATGAATGACATGGTTCTGAGCATAAGTAGTCTGCAAATAACATGGATAAACTCATATGGCATATGTTAGTGCATGAGATGAGATTATAAATGTCAACACCATCAACAACTCTTTCATGTTTAAAAGCTAAAATAAAGAACTTATCCTCAATCAACTAAAGAAAGAAATTGGCTGCTTCCTCCCCAAAAAAAGATCAATGTACTATACATTATACTGTGGCTCAATGGCCATTAATATAAGTCTTAGGATCAATAAATTTTGATTCTAAAATCGATTGTCGGACCGATGATTGTGATTTTCTTAAATTTAAAACTTGAACAGAATCGATTATATGTAGTTTCAATTTGGAAGCATTTTTTTTTTGTATTTTTAAATTTAAAAAAAAATATTTCTCTAAATAATCATTTAGGATATTTGATCTTTTAATAAAATATTTCTCTAAATAATGAAGACCAGCTCGATTTCGATTCAAAATCATTCAAAATATCGATCCAGTTTAGTTTCTATTCATTGTCTGACTTAGTTTGATTCGAACGTCCTATCCACTTACATTAAAAGGAATACAGTGATGTTGTGGCGGCTAAGTTGGTATCATATCGGACAGTGCACAACTATCGTCCGTCCGATATAACTACGCTGCTATTTCTGCCCCCCCCCCCCCACCCCCCAACGCACAAATTGACGACTGCGATGTCCACCTTTCCATATGGCATCCTAAACAACGTACAAACTTTTTGTCTTCGGAGGGAAAGTTTAGTGGAAGAATTCGGGACAAATAGCGCTCGTCTTATTATGCCATATCAAGAAAAAGTAGCATTTCCGAAGCAAGAAGAGTCCATAAAAGCAGTGGAGAAGGTGATCGGGGTGGCAGACATGGAGCAGAACAGGGCGGGGAGGTCAAGGTTTGTGAGGGTGTGCGTGTTCTGCGGGAGCAGCGCCGGGAAGAGGGACTGCTACCAGGATGCTGCTGTGGCGCTGGGGAGGGAGCTGGTAACTCAATTCCTGGAGCCCTCTCTTGCTTCTTCTTCTCTTATAGTCTTGAGCTCAGGCGAGCCGTGGGACGCAGGTGGCCAGGAACGTTGACCTCGTGTATGGAGGTGGGAGTGTGGGTCTCATGGGATTGGTTTCTGAAGCTGTTCATCGAGGTGGAGGCCATGTCATTGGGTAAACATCCACTGGTTTCAGCAATCATTAATGCCTTTTTCTCTTTCCTTGAATCCCCTGTTATGCGTCATGTGTTCTTGTAGGATAATTCCGAGGACCCTGATGTGCAAAGAGGTCAGCACATGCGTTGATTGCCATTATTTTTCTGTCCCCAAAATCTTGCGTAACAGTTGTCCTGCTTGCTTGCTTGCTCTACGGATTCAGATCACTGGAGAGACGATCGGAGAAATCAGACCTGTGGGCAGCATGCACCAGCGCAAGGCCGAAATGGCTCGTTACTCCGACGCCTTCATCGCTCTCCCTGGTCTCTCTCTCTCTCTCTCTCTCTCTCTCTCTCTCTCTCTCTCTCTGCTTCAGCTAGCTTTACGACTTCTATTTTTTCTGTACTACAGGTGGGTATGGAACACTGGAGGAGCTACTGGAGGTCATCACTTGGGCGCAACTCGGCATCCACAAAAAACCCGTAAGCGTTACTCATCTGCTAGTGTGTTCTGCTGCGACACCAGAAGGCAGCAGAAACTAAGAAGCAATGGCTACTCTTGGCCTGGCAGGTGGGATTGCTCAACGTCGATGGCTACTACGACTTCCTGTTGGCCTTCATAGACAAAGCCGTGAACGACGGCTTCATCCAGCCATTACAGCGACACCTCGTCGTCTCGGCATCCAACGCCAGAGATCTCGTCCAAAAACTCGAAGTAATGGCGGCTCAGCCTTCTTCCTCATTTGACCTTCCTGTCATTCTACGCTGCATATATTAATGTTCCTGCTATTACGACGCAGGAATACGTACCGGTGCAGGACGAAGTAGTCGCACGGCTTCGTTGGTAAATGGAGCAAGTCGCTGCCCCAGCAGTGACACGAACTGTGTCCAGTAGCCTTGTCTGTGGTTGGGGATATCATGGCATGTGTTTGTGCGTTAACCGTGAAGTGTTTGGCTGTGGCCTTTCACTGGACTTGCTCGTCCGCAGTCCTTTTTGTGTTGCTTGGCTTCGCTTACGCTGCTTGAACACATCGAAAGTTAGCCTTTTTTTGTGCAGCTATCTAGTACTTGAAGATTCCATCTCGAGACATTCAGATTCCGATTAGCCATATATGAACTGACATTTTGATGCAAGGATAAATAAATATATATATATATATATATATATATGTTAAAAACTTTTTTTTTAGTTTTTAAATAATATTTATTAAGTCTATTTAGTTTAATTGTTTATTGAGTCTATTTCGTTCGGTTAAAATTAAATAAAAATTTATTTAATATTTATTTATTATTAAGAGTCCAAGATGAACTCTAGGTGAAACTTTATAAATAGTAATGTAACCCTTTCTTTAGTAATCAATCAATCAATGAAATGTTATTCCACTCTATGGATAAATTCTAGGAGGTCGATCCCCTCGAAGTGATCATTATTATTCCATTTTCTCTCATTTCTTCCACGATAAGACATTAGGGTCTTATTAATTGGTATCAGAGTAACGATAAGGCTTTAGGGTATTATAATTTGATATCAAAGCAGCGATCGTCAACGTTCTCGCTGTAATTCGTCATCTCAAAAAGAAAAAAAAAAAAAAAGTGAAAGAGGAGGTCGGTAGCCGTCAACCACACCCTGCTTCCCTTCTCCACCACCGCCACCGCTGCAGGGCAACCCGTTCTCCACCGTCGCCGCTGCTGCCAGACCATCAAGTAGCTATCGTCATCCCAAAAAAAAAAAAGGTAAAAGAGAGAAAGAAGAAGAGAGAAGGTTGGCAGCCCGCATCCCCTGCTTTCAGCCAGCCCACCCGCCGCTGCTACTTCCCGGTCGACGGACCACCGTCGCCATCGCTACTGCCCAGCCAGCAGCCACCACTGCCGTCGTTGCCCCCCCGGCCAGCGACCTCGCCTCCTCGCTGCCCGCATCTCGCTCGAGCGAGAAGGGTCGCCACCGTCGTTTCCCAGCCAGTGGACCACCCATCGCCGCTTCTACCGTCAACAATGCTGCCCTAGCCGCACCACCATCGCTGCCTTTCCTTGGTTGCAGCTTCGACCACGCCATCTATCAACGTCACTATTTCTGTGGTGCGATAGAAACAAAGCAGTCGCCGATCCCTCTATTGCTGTAGGCGCCGGTTGCCTCTATCGTCGCCGCTGCATCTCGGCCACTTCAACGCCACCCCTCTCCTTCGTTGCCGAGCCACCACCGCTGCCAGCCACCGTGCAACAACTGCCGCACGCCTCCCAGCCACCGATCCCCCTTGTTCTGCATCCGTAGTGATAGAAACAGGGCAACTCACCGGTTGCCCTTGTTCCCAACTGTGACACTGCCGACTCCTCCTCCACTACTGTCGTTGCTTCTCGGTTGCTCGACCACCACCGTCGCTGCTCCCGCCGCAACCCTAGCCGTACCCGCAGCCGCTGGTTGCCGCAGCCCCTCATTGCAACGGTTGTAGAAACAGAGCTTCCTCTGTTGCTGCAGCCCCGTTGCTCCCTGCCACGACCCTCGTTGCCTCCTTCTCCAACACCACCGTTGCGCTCCAGCCAGCAACCACCGCTGCTGCCAGCCACCGTAGCCTTCACCTCAGCCCCCTTGCTCTGCACCATTGCCGCAGCCCCCTTGCTCTGCATCGTTGCCGTAGCCGCCGGTTGCCACCACTACAGCCTCAACCCCGACCGCTTCAACGCCACCTCCCTCTTGTTCTGCCTCCGCCGCTGCAGTTGTCGGTTGCCATCACCGCAGCCTCAATCCGGCTGCTCGGCGATTGCTTCCTTGGGTCACAATAGTCGCAACCATTGCCTTTCAGCCTCGGCGCTCTCATCTCACGTAGTGACAGAAACACAGGGCAGCAATTCTTCCTCCATCACAGTCATCGCAACGACGAGCCCTTACAAGCGCTACCCCCAACCGCACCACCATCGTTACCTCACAGCCCTCAGCAGCAGCGATCCCTACACACAGCGACTGCAACAAGCATTGTTGCCTCTCATCAGCGCCTCCTTCAGTAGTGTGACAGAGACAGAGCAACGCTGCCTTCCATCCACGTTGTCGCAGCCATCGCAGTGGCGAGCCCTTGGCGCTGCTGCCCCAGCCACACCACCATCGCTGCCTCCAAGCCCTCAGTAGTAGTGATCCCTCCACGCAACAACCGCAACAAGTATCGTTGCCTCCCACGTGATGACCGCAGCTACATCCTTGCATCCTCACAGTAACCCTTCATTCCCATAGTGTTGCCACCGACTGCATCACAACAGCAGCACCGAATAGGTCAGTGATTGATGCCCTTGATTGACACCAAAAATAAGAGTTGAGATTATAGATTTATAGTCTTACGTAATGGCCACCGATAACTCAGTGAAAGCACAAATGGAAGCATTGAAAATCAGAATTAAGAACCGACTGCAAGAAACACTTAATGATTTCAAAAAAAGCTTACTAGAGAGCCTCAGCAAATTTTAACAAGATAGGAGCTCAAGTTCTACGTTGCATATATCTGAAAATATAAGAAAAAGACCCCAAGATTGTGACACAAACTACTCACACATGAAGGTGGAATTTTCGAGATGGAAAGATGGAGATCCGACTAGTTGGATCTCTAAGGAGAAAATTTTTTTTTTCGTTTTCATAGAACACCAGAAGAATATAAGGTAGAATGGCCTCAATCCAGCTTGATGGAGATGCAATCCAATGGTACGATTGGTATGAAACTTTTCACGGAGTTCCTTCGTGGGAGCAGTTCAAAAGAGGGCTTCTTATTCGCTTTGGCTCATCCGAATATGAAAATGTTGATTGTCAGCTCGCCAAAATTCGTCAGACTTCTACAGTGTTAGAATATCAGAGTAGGTTTGAAAATTATCAAATCAAGCTAGAGATTGGTCGGACCGACAACTTCTGGATACGTTTATTGAAGGGCTTATTCCAGAGATCCGGTGTGAAGTTAAGGCTCGTCAACCCTGCACTATGATAGCTGCGATCTCATTTACACATCTACATAAGAAGAAAATTAGCAAGGAAAGATCAGCAAGGGGTTTCTACTATGATGAAAAATAGAGTATGGAGCACCGATGTAAACAATGGCAACTTCTGATCATTGAACCAATTGGAGAGGAGCCGAAAGCTAAGAATGTGGACTCCGATCATGAAGGTATAAATTCTAATGAAGATGTTGAACCTACCATACATACAATGCATACATTAGCCGACTACTCTAACCCACAAACCATGGAAGTTGGCGGAACTGTAGATATAGGAAACACTAACAATTTTATGAACAGTAAGACTGTTGACCGATTTGTCACGGACTTAGCTGGTTTTGCCTAAGTCGTGCGGCACCCTTGCGTGTCCGTCTGCAAAGGTCAGCCTCCCCGAAGCCTCCCATTGTCCCTTAGGACCAACAAAAGAGAGAACGGGTTAGAGAGAACACCTCAATCGGGATCCACAAGCAAACATATCCGAAAAACACTTCATAGACAATGCAAATTACAAACAGACTTTACAAGCTCTGAACAATTGCACAACAAAGGGTAAAATGATCCATTACAAACCGAAAATCTCTCGCACGTGTCCACATGACACAACCTTTATTTACAAGCCTAAAGAGGCCACCAACCCAACTAAAATGGGACTATTAAGCCTTCGGCCGTCCCTCTACATGCTGTACAAGGCATGAACATACCAAAAGACACGGACATACATAAGCATTACATCAAACATCCTGTTTAGAAGTTTGTCCGTGACATATTGGCCCACCACATTGAAGACTATGAAAGATTCGAAGTAAAGATTGGATGGATTTTCACTTGTGATAGCAAAGGTTCAAAGATAAAATTGATTATATAGGGCCAGAAGTTTCTTGCAACGATTACTACACTGAAAGACCAACCTGTTGCTTACACTATCAAAAAGTGGAGACCATACTTGATCAATGGGTTGTGATGCATTGCAGATAGTCTATGACTAAAGTGCTGAAAGAGAAGCTCCCCGAGATTAATGTTGCTCAAACTTGAGGACAAAGCTGATTTGAAGAGAAAGGAACTGTTAGGATACTTTTTCTGAACTTTTGAAAAATGTTTATTAAGTCTATTTAGTTTAGTTGTTTATTGAGCCTGTTTAATCAGTTAGAGTCAAGTAAGGGTTTATTTAATATTTATTTATTATTAAGAGTGGAACTCTAGGTGGAACTCAATAAATAGTGTTGTAACACTTTTTTTAGCAATCAATCATTCAAGGAAATATTATTCCACTCTATGGACAAACCCTAGGAGGCCGATCCCCTCGAAATGATCAAGGAGGGCTGATCCCCTCGAAGCGATCAAAGAGGCCGATCCCTTTAAAAAGATCATTATCATTCCCTTTTCTTTCCTTTCTTCCACGATAAGACTTTAGGGTCTTATAAAATATATATATATGTATATATATATATATATATATGTATATATATATATATATATATGTATATATATATATATATGTATATATATATATATGTATATATATATATATATGTATATATATATATGTATTTATATATATATATGTATATATATATGTATATGTATATGTA